CTTCCCAGGCTGGACAATGCTGGTCAATATCCTGGGCTGGGAGCAGGCAGACCAGATGCCAATCTGGAGGTCCTAGTGAGCCACCGGGTGAGGTTCAGGTAGCAGATGCCATGGAATATGGTATTGGGCTGCAAACTCCAAGTCTATAAAGTTGCTGGAAGCCCCAGAATCAATCATAGCTCCCACAAGGTCTGCCTTATCTTGAGTGAGCCAAAGGGTTACAGCTACCAACAAGAGGTCCTTTTTGAGCTCCCTGGATGGCTCTGATGGATTGGTGCCACACCTCCCCTGACTAGCGAGGCCGCCAAGACCTGGGGGACCAGATTCCCAGAGATTGAGAAAGGCCATGGCCTTTGGCTGGGCAATTCTGGACAAGTGACCTGTTTTGCCACAGTACAAACAGAGGCCGGCTTGGCGCCTCTGATCCTTTTCGCTAGCAGAGAGGTGAGGCTGCAGGGGCTTGATGGCAGCCTCTCCAGAAACAGGCTCTCAGGAGGTGTCCAGGTAGGCAGGGAGGAGGTCGAGGAGCCATGGAAGGTGTCCAAGCGGGTTGAGCAGTGGAGTGAGGCGCAGCTCCCCGGTGAGCTTGGTGGCATGTCTCCAGCCTTCCATTGATACGTAATGCTCATTTATCAACTGTAAAGTCTCTGGGGGTGGTGCATGGGCTAGCTCATCCAGAATGATCTCTGCTAGTCTGACCTTGAATTAGCTCTGGAGGTCAGGGTCATTCCAGCTCAAATCTGGAATCAACATCTTGAAGGCAGTCACATACTACAAAACAGTACCTTGGCCTTGACAAAGACTCTGGACTTCCCGGTCAGCAGTCTCGGTCTTCACTGGATCTCCTCAAGCTGTCTGGAACTCCCTTACAAATAAATCATAGCCATTTACAGTGGCCACCAGCTGCATTACTTGGGCAGCCAGTTCTTGGTTTTGCTATTTTAGTGCATCCATTACACCTGCCTGATGAGATTTATGGGGCAGCCGACAAGACTGTCCTGTTTACTTCTTCTGAGGACAGCACCACAGAAGAATAAGCGAAGGAGTAGTCAAAAGTCCATTCCAAAAGTCACAGGACAAGAGTCTAGTATTTAACAGCAAAGGGAGAAGCAGAAGCATAGTCAGAAGGCAGTGCCAGAGGTCAGAAAACAGGAGTACAATAGCAGAGAACAGGATACACAACAACTAGGGAGGCCACAAGACTGATTGTCAGCTACAGGGAATCATATCAGCTGGAGTCTTTTTAAAAGCCTCAGTGTGCCTCAGATTAGCTCTCCTTTTGGCTTCAATGATTCCTTGGCTTGTCTTTGCTGCACAGGTTCTAGTACCTGCAGCATAGAGTCTATCTCTCCCTCTGCAGCTTTCTTCGTCTCCTCTGAGACTACAGAGCCTCCAGGTAACCCCAGATCTGTCTCATCCTCATGGCCTCTAAAGCAAAGTCAGACCCAGGGCAGTCCATGACACCCAGCCTGATCCTGGTGCAAATTGGCCCGCTGTTTGCCACTGAGTGGTAAATGAGTTTACATTATTGGAAACTGCACAGCAAACCCTGGCTAACCAGATGGTCCTGCATGCCCCTTACCTTCCTCCACTGTTCTCACTATTGGGAAGACCTACATCACCATATGTGACATGGAAAGGAGGTACCTGGCTACCATGGGTGCAACCAGGAACCTATTTCCACATCAGACACAGCGACAGACGTCTTCTCGTTAGCAGCGATAGTCAAGGAAGGTAAGGAGCACATGGCAATAGCTGGCTCATGGTAGGTGGCCAAGTAAACACCTACATGTCCCCATGCTGGCCCAGGGACCAACCCAGGTCAGGATAGCATGGACTTGGCCCATGGTATCATGGCCTGTCTGCTCAGACCCCCAGACTACATCTGCACTGCAGAAATAATGCAGTTTGAAACTGCTTTAACTGCCATAGCTCAGTACTTTGGAATCCAGGATTTGTAATTGTTTAACCTGCAGTTTTCTAGTTTGAAGGTAATGAGAAACGGTAGTTCAACAAACCCTGGAATTGTTGTATGTAGCTATATAAGAGAAGGAAGGAGAGTGCTCAGACAAATAACACTGATTTTCACTTTTATAAACCATGTTTTTCCCCAAACTTAAATTGTTTCCATCTGTAAAGAATTAATTATAAATAGTTGTTTTTAACTATTTACCCCGAAGCTCTGTGTAGCACTGAGACATTAATTCATCTTTCTGTGTGTGGTTGGTGTGTGCCCCTCTGAACATTGTCACAAAGAAAACTCTGAGATTTTCCATTCTGTGATTGCAGAATTGTAAAGTCTTGATCAATTGCTATAATTTTCTTAGAAGCCTAATTAAGTTCAGAGGGAGCACAGCTTAAAAAAAGGGAAGAGGCAAACCCACTGTTGATGTAGCTTGAGTTTTGGGCAGACTCTATGATGCCCAGCCAATGTGTTATTGTTTGTTTAACTTGGAAATTTCTGTACTGCTGGGTATGATTCATATTGTCACTCTGTTCACTGTTTCCTCAAGGCTGCTTTCTGGTGAAGTTTCCTTCCTCTGTTTCCCCCCTTTTTAATTAAAAAGCCAATTTTTCTGGTTGTGGCCCTGAATTATCTGTAGATTGAACTGCAGTTCCATATACTACAATCATCTCTATGTGTTGTCCTCTTGTTAAAAAAAGGGGATGACAGTGGCTTTCTATGAGCAAATGTTTTCCCAACATTTCAAGGGGACCCATTTACTAACGGTTTAGTCCTGGAAAGTCTTCATAAAAAGGAACCTCTGAAGGGAATGGAACTTTTGCTGACAGAACAATATGTGAATGAGAAAACAAATCCTTAGCTGAGGCCTTCAGGAGATTAGGGGGCTTGCCTTTTGGAGTTGAGCATCTTCAAGTGTTAATAACCCTTTGAATTTAGTTGTGTATTTAGTTGTGGTGATAAGGCTTTTTGTTCTGATTTGCTTTCATTCACTTATCTCCCACCCCTCTAAAAAAATCGTGTTAAATCTACAGTGTGTGAACCAACCTTCCATACAGGACCAGTGGCACTTATGGTCTGATGTTACCGTGGTGGAGAATCTGCTCTAGGTTACAGTTTGAGCTTTAAAGGACTTGTACAAGATGCTTAATTTGTTTTGAGGGTTAAGGTAGTGACTTGAATGTTAGACTAACACTCTGGGGGATTGGGGTTCAAATCCCTGCTGAGCTGTCGAAGCCCACTGAATCACCTTGGGCTAGTCTCAGCATCAGAGGAAGGCAACAGCAAGTCTCTTCTAAATAAATCTTGCCATGAAAACCCTGTGATAGGTTCACCTTGGGGTTTCCAT